CTGATGCAAATGACTGGTACACTTGGGAATGCGGTCAAACCAGTCTTTCTCGTCACCACGGTCACCCGAGTTGTCGTCCGCGGCCTCGTCATGTACATCATCAGATGCAGCTTGCGACGCTGATTCCAACGGTATACCGCTTGCGGGGGGTGCGGCGTCGCTGGGGGGCGAGGGAGGCGAAGAAACCGACGCAGAAATTTTGCTGGGCACAGATGTCGTCTCCTCGCGCCCGCCTGCCGCCTGTGCACTGCTGGCCGGTGTGCGCGTGACCTCGCCAGACTCAGAATTTGACGGCGATTCTGGGGGTGTGCCGCGCGACGGGCCTGGGTGCGACTGAGGGGGTGGGAGCAGCGGTGGCGCAGGCGTTGGGTTTTCGCTGACTGTGTTGCTTGCGCTGTTTCTGACCTCGTCAGAGTCGCTGCCTCCTGGGGTAGTTTTCGATGCTGTTCTGATGGTGCCGCCTGCGCAGGGCGAGGCACTGTCGGGGCGGCCGCAGGAGCCGCGTCGGTGTCAAAGCGCTTTGCCGTTCGCTTGTCGTTGGTGCGCCCGCCACGCGCAGTTCGTGTTGTCTGGTTCTGTCGCAGCCGCGGCGTTGCCACACGCTCGGCTGTGAGTATCGGTGTCAATAACGCGCTGTGGGGAGGCGTAGGGAGGAGGCCAGGGCGACAGCCGGCCGTCGAGGGTGTCGAAGCAGAGGACTGACTGCTTTGCACAGGGATGTGCATTGTTCGTTGCTTGAAGTCGATTTGAGGGTTGTTCTTTTCCAGCCAGTCCGCCCCAAGGATGAGAGGTACGACTGGCGTCGATGTGATCAGAGGCTGGATCACCTCACGGTGCTTGCCGAGCGAAAGGCCGACTCTGCATTGCTCGCTGATTTTCAATGGTTGCCCATTGACTGATTGGACTGTGATTGGTTTGGCCATACGTGAACGTTTGACAGACAATTTATTTGCGAACTCGTCATCCATCAACGTTACAGTGGCGCCACTGTCAACCAGAACGGGCGTGCTCACAGGCTGGGACTTGGGACGGTCCAGGTTGCAAACACGAGCTGGAAAAACAAAGGCGCCGTTTTCTTGCCCACTCGTCAGATGGCCCTGGCGGTGGGCTGGGCTTTTCCCTGCTGGGATTGGCCCTGCTGGCCTTGCTGCTGCGGCTCGTCGTCGTCGTCGTCGTTGTCGTCGGCAGCCCAGTGTGCGAACAGGGCGGCAGCGAGCTGCTTCTTGGAGAAGCGCGTGAGGCACCTGCTGGCAATGTGACCCGGCTCCCTGCACTTGTAGCAGAGGCCTTTCGCCAAGCATTCCGCGCGCTCCTTGTCAGTGATTGGCGAAGAGGACGAGCGCTGCGATGGGCCCGGCTTGTTGTTGTGCGCTGCCCTGTTGCCGTTGCCGTTGCGGTTGCCGTTACCGTTGCCGTTGCCGCGAGCCGAATTGTTGTAAGTCGCATAGTTGCCACCATTGCGACCGGCGTTGTTGCTGTTGTTGCTGTTGTTGTGACCGCGGTTGTCGCTGTTGCGGTTGTCGCTGCTGTCAAGGGGGGTGTTGTCGCTCACCCTGTTGCCGTTGTTTCTGCGCTTCGGCTCGAATCGAGGCCTTGATGTTCGCCAGCGTCTCATCCAAGGACCAGTCGAGGGCATGGGTGGCGTACACGACGGGCGGCAGAGCTGCGAGCAAGTCCTGCTTGATGCCGTCCTCGGTGATGTTGATGCCGTCCTCGGTGATGTTGATGCCGCGAATGCGCCTCAGCCTCTCAACCGTCTCGACCACTTCCTTCACGCTGCGTGCCGTGTCGTCGCTGAACTTTCTCTTGAGCGCGGCCAGCAGCTCGTCCGAAGTGCTACCGGGTTTGTCGTCCAGCTCGTCCATGATGATCGTCCAGCTCGTCCATGATGAACTCCAGTGCCGAGTCCGACAAGCAGGTAATGAGGACGGTAACCTTGTCCTTTTCAGTCAGTGAGACCATCTTGCAACGATTCGAAAAATTTCTCACAAAACGATCCAGGTTGTCGGCACTGCCATCGAACTTTGACACGCCGAAGAACTTGCACAGGTCGTTAAAACTCATGGAGGCCGTGACGCTGGTGTCTATCTCAGCCAGGATCTCGGCATTGTTTTGCTCGATACCCTGTGCCATTTGCTCGGGACTGAGCATAGACGTGTTGCTATCGGTGTCCGTGTCGCCACTGGCGTTCGAGGGGCCAGCGTCGCTCATGGTGAGATCTTGAATGAAAGATTGGAGAAAGGATTGAGAAAAGAGTGCGAGAAAAGTGAAAACCGCAAAGAACTGAAAAAGGAAAACACGTGAAGATGCGGGGAAAAGATAACAAAGAAAGACGGCCACAGCAGTGCCGAGTGCGATTGCAGTGCTGGGGTCGAAGAGGAGTCTTGATTACTGCGGTGTCTCGAACACAGCAGTCGTGGTGGAGAATGTGGAAGAACGAAGTAAAGTGAAAACAAAAATGCAAGGAATGAGGGGAGAAAGAGAAGGAAGCGAAGAAAAATGAAATGAAATGAGAAAAAAAATGAAAGAAACGTGGCAGAACAGAAAGAGAGAGAAAACGAGTCGTGATCACTGCGGCGTCTTGAGATGCAGCAGTCGTGGCAGTCGGGGAGAAGAGTCTGTCGATGAATACTGGGTGACAAAATGTTGATTCGTCAAATTGTCAGAGTCAGTGCAAATGTACGTCGATTGTCAGGCAATGTTCATGAATAAAGGTATATTGACGAATGAACCATTCCCAGTATGGGAGACATGACAGACAATACAAGGTAATGCATGCAAGTAAGTAGGCATGCCAGTGGGGCATGACACCTCGGGGCTGTTCGCGTCGTCTTGACTGGGCTGGTCGATTGGATGATCGAGCGGCACGAACCCGTCGTTGTTTGCAGTCTCGGCTCGGTCGGTGTTCAGGCGGGTCGTTTCATTTTCGTTGACTTCATGTCGGTTGCACTGGGTGCGGCGGGTCGGGCACGTCGCGTACTTGTGGTGCTGCTTGCAGTGGAAGCACTTGGTGGGCTGTCCTTTCACTTGGATTTGGATGTCACGGGGGAAGCCACTAGCAGACGTGACTTGAATGGAGTCAGGGACCTTGTCAATCACCTGCTTGACGTTCACGTCACTGGTCAACGTAGCGTAGTAGATCCTTGTGCCCGTTTCGAAGGGACAGCCGTTTGGCGCTTTGCCAATGGAGCGATGGCACTTTTCGAACTTGAGCCCAGTTTTGGTGTTGAGCATATCCGCAATGGCTTCGTTGGAGTGGTGCATCGGGACGTTGTAGAGCATCAGCACGACTTCCCTCAGGCACGCATTGGGATAGATGGTGGTCATTCCAAACTGGATGCCCTTCTGGCACGCCTCGGTCGCTTGGTTCGGGTGCTTGAAGACGATGCTCAGCTCATGCGGGCCAAAGTTGATGCCGCAGCAGCCCTCAGGGATGTGCTCCATCAGGAGCTTGGTGATCTCGTTGCCTCTGCCATCGATCTTGTTGGCGCGAAGCGAGGTCCAGCTGACCACGACAGTGTGCTTCGAGCCGTCACCCATCTGAGAGGCGTTCAGGCTGAGCTCATCGTTCAGCTTAGCGTAGTCGGGGTCGTTGACGTCGATCATCTCGAGACCGGACTTGGGCGTACTCTGAAATTCGGTTTTCCGAAATTCGGAAAAATTTCCACTGTGGGTGAAGTTGGACGCAGCCACGCCGGGGGCTGTCTGGGAGCCACGCGGGACGTGGATTGACTGCTTGTGCGAGTCATGCGCACAAAAAGACTGAACCCAAACCAAAATTTGCGCGGGAAAAGTAATAGTTTTGGGTTTATTATGTTTTTTATTTTGCTCGCTGCTGCTCCGATATGACTCAGAACCCCCGCTCCCGGTGTTCATCAGACGTCTGGTACACTGTATCATGAATGCAGGTGTCGCGGGCGAGACGGAAATCAACACAGGTCCCTGGGAGGGCGAAAAGGTGAAAAAAAGGGGGGGGGTCGAAAATTAAAGATTGGGATCGTAACTCCTTTCGCATTTTTGGCAATGTCATACCACTCGCGCTGACTCTCAGTCATGCTCTCATACTCCAGCATTTCCGGTTGATCTGGTTCTCAACACAATATTTTGGTTGTTTCATTCAGTCAGTGTCGCCCACCACTCCGTCTCCATCGTCATTCCCTGAGGCGATGCAGCACATTCACAAGAGCATCTCTCAATATAAGCTCAGCTCGCAAATGCAGAGCACAGAGCCCAGGCGGTATCAAACGCACGCAAAGTAGTTTGGCCGGTCGATGCTAAGCCACAAAAAAAAAAAAAAAAAAAATACAAATAAAAAAGCAATGAAGCCTGAAAATAGTTCAAGCACCAAGATGAGAAGCTAGGATGACGATTTGAACCATTAAGGACCAATATAGAAGCGAAACAAACAAAACAGAGCGAGGGAAGGAAGTGGATTCGAAACTTGTCGTTATTCCTTCCCGTCTTGGGCGACTAACGATACAAGGACCCTCGCTTCCTGACAACAATGATGCATTCTTGTACTTGATGCGATCGTGTACTCTCATGAATCGTTTAACAGACCACGACAGAACTAAGAGCCATTGGCGGCATGTAATTTAATTTCACAATGCTTGTTTTGTTCAAGATTTTCGAAAAAAAAAAAAAAAACTAGAATGCGACCAAGGTTCAATGATTCATTGAGATGTGACAAAATCAAGCAACTTTCAAGCTTGCTGCGGCTGCTGAGACTGGGCTTGACTTTGAATGTGGAAAATGAGCGCGTGATGATCTTCACCGCCAGAAATGAGGAACGAGCCGTCGTTAGAAACACAGATATCGAGCGGTTCCGCCAAATGACCATGTAAATCTTGCAACAAGCTCCCCGTGCGAGCATCCCACACGCGGACGAGATGGTCGAGCGAAGCAGTAATCAGCAATGGCAGAGTGGGGTGGAATTGAACGCGAATCACACCGGCCTTTCAACGCAGAGAAACAAATCGACACGTTCGAACAGAGTGAGTCCAGCAAAACAACACGAGGTCGAAGAACACTCGCAAAAGTGGGGGGGGGGGCGCCCCGCCTTCGCTCCAAGCAAACAAGAAACAAGAAACAACAAACACGAAACAACAAACAAGAAACAACAAACAACACAAACTCTCGAAAAACTCTTACATCATGCTTCAAGGTGTGCCGAACTCGATTGGCCGACATGTCCCAAATGCAAGCAGTTCCATCGAGGGAACCGGATGCAGCCCAAGGCATGGTTGAGCAGAATGCGACACTTTCAACCGAGTCAGTGTGTCCCTCGAAACTGGCAATAATCTGCTCCAACCAACAAGTGGACGTGTCAGCTTCATATTCATTGCAAGGCAATTAAAAAAAGCAAAGGATGAAAGGGATGACAACAAAAACACACACACTGTTGCATCGCGAGATGACAACGCAGAAAACTCTTTACCTTGCCAGTCTTGCTATGGGTAATAATCGCCTTGTTGTCGGCTCCGCCGGTAATAACAAGAACATTGTCGTGACTGAGAGCAAGGGAAGTGATTGCTTCTTGATGGAAGCGACCATCGCTCGCTGCAACAGCCAAAGTCAACCAGACAACATCGAGTGGTGAGCACACAGCACTGCACACATGTCAAAAGCAAGGATTCACCCTCTCAAATGATTGTCATGCCAAGTCACAAGCACCAACTCGGAATACAGAAGGAGAGACTTAAGGGGAGAGCGACGGTGTGGGCCACTTTACGTGGAAAACCCAAACACGTTACCTGCAGAAATCTTGGAGACCTGCTCAGCAGTCTTCGGATCCCATGCAATCAGAGACATGTCCTCGGACGCCGTTACAATGCTTTTGCCTAACCAACATTCGAAACAAAGGAACAATAAGCAACCTTCTTCTGGTTTCAGTCTCCGGCGATTCACAGCCAATGCAAAATTTCAGCACGAACCGTCCGAAGTAAAGCCACCAGCTGTGACGCGACTATTGTGGCCCGAAAAGATGTGCATGACATTTCCGCTCGGAATTTGCCACATGAACGACGTTCCGCTACCCGAGCCGCACAAAAGCACGTTACCCTTGGGATGCCACGAGAGCCACTACGCACAAGCACATTCCAAGCAGAAACAAAAGCAAATCAACAGTGAGCCAACAAAGGAACTTGAGTTGAGCCAAGCGTGAAGCCGACTGCGACTTTTTTTTTTTTTTTTTTTTTCGTGGGGCAAAATCACAAGCAAATGAAACGAACCTCAACTTCATCAGGGCCATCGAGCTCCACAACCAGCGCACCAGTGACCGTATTCCACACTTTGACAGAGCCATCAAGACCACCGGTGGCAAAGTAGGTGCCATCAAAGTTGAATCCAACGCTGGCCACCGAGTCGGTGTGTCCAACGAATTTGTGAATCACAGAGCCGTCCGATCGGGACCACAGATAGGCAACATCATCGCCACCACCGGTGCCAATCATAGTAGGATTGGCAGGATTGATGGCAACGCTGTAAATGGGCTCTGGAATCGCAAAGTCACACAAAGCGACAGGTGAGACAGACAGGCTTTTGACCCCTCCATCATCCAAAACCAAAACCACCACCACCACCACCACCACTGAGCATCCAAAGCAACCTTCCACGGTGGCCAATTCAACGAGGGGGGGGGAGCAAAGTGTTGGCATGCGTACCAGAATGCTCGGTAAACCCGCCAGCAGAGTCATCAATCCACTCTTCAACGGTATCGCCTTCGCCAATCGCGGAAGCGTCTTCCCACTGCTGCTGCTCATCTGTGTAGGGTTCATCGCCATCGTCTTCGGGGGCATCATCGTCGTCGCTCATCTCTGAGGCAAAGTCAACAAAATCGTGTTCAAGGTACATCAGTCAAGTGAGAAACGACAGCGACAAAGGCCAGAACAACCAATACAAACGCCAATTGAAAAAAAAAGAAAGATCAACGAAAGCGAAAGTCAAAAGAAAGCCAGAGCCACCACCACAGGACGAAAAAGCGAGTGTTGAGTGGGAAAAAAAAAAAAACAAAAAAAACAAAAAAAAAAAAAAAAACAAAAAAAAACTAAACCAACCAAAGTGCCATGTGGAGAGAGCTCACAGCACATGCACAGTGGTTGGCGGAGCGGCATCGACACCACTCGCTCGCTGGGGCTGTGCAGCTTTGCCACTGGGGCACATGGCCGCAGGTTGACTCAGCGCGACGGGCGACGCGACTGAACGGCAGCGGCGAGGCGACGACTGTGCGCGATTGCGAAACGAGCAAAAAAGCTCCGTGTTCTGGAACCTGGCCTTCTCACAGTTCCGCGTCTCGGCTTGGCTGCTACAGCTGCACAGTCACAGTGGGGGCCCAAAGATGTGCGTCAAAGCGCCACCACCCACAGTGTGGGTAGGGGGGGGGACTGGCTGGGCGCCGAGCAGAGAAGAAACACAACAGCAAAACTGACCTTCCTCGTTCGGGGCGTCGTTCAGGTCGAGATCGTCAATCTCCTCAACAATGTCCTCGGGGTTGACAACAACGTCGTCTTCAGCGCGAGCGTTGCGACCGACTCCGCCGCGGGATTGGCGGCTGGGGCCAGACGAAGGGGCAGTACGGCGGCTCATTCTGTTTGCAGCGATACAAGAAGGAAGTGAGCTGCATCCGATTTTGGTGTCGTCGTGTACCTGAGCTGCCTTGAAACACTACAGCATCCAGCAGTAGCAACCATTCAATACAAAAACCCAATAGTTCCCTTATTGAGAAACGACGGTCAAAGGAAAACCGCGAAAAGGAAACAAACCCGCCAAAGCAAAAACAAGAACGATCTAAAGACACTTGACCACAACCCGTCGCGCTGTGCCTCGACCGCTGCTCTGTTGCGTTGCTTGGATACAGCCGTCACGCATGAGCAGAATTCGAAACGAGGCGATCAAGCTCGCACTTTGAGCTCAACTCAATGCGCCTCACCCCAGATATCGTTATACAAAAAAAACAAAAAAACGCAACACCGACAAGATTTGCTCCTCTAACAAAAGCCACGCAGGTTCACTCGAGCTCCATTCTCGCGAAAGATCTCACCTACAGCTCACCGAAGTGCGAGTAAGCAGCGATGTGACACGGCTCGCGTTACACCTGTTTTTGTTGCGCTGCTAATTCAAAACAAAAGCAAGTGGACAAATCGAGTGAAAGCAGCATTCCAACCCTGCCAACATGTACGCGAGTCTTGCCGGGTCGCTGCTCCACACCCGACAGTCCCATCCATCCATGCAAACAAATGCCAGGGTGTGCTTTCCAAGGTTGCCAGGGGCGAGCACGTAGCGCCGACAGGCAAAGCGTCAGAGTTCCGAAAACACGATTGTTGACAGCTGCACGCGCCTTCAGCCACGACGTGGTCCTCATACTTTGCAGCAACAAGGCATTTATGTTGAATCAAACTTGATGGCAATAATCAGCGTTCTCGTAAGCCGACGGTTGAGCAAGCTGCCGAGCGACGGAACTGCACGAGGTCGCTGGGATTACAGTTGACGTGAAGCTTCTTTTTCCCCCCCCCCTCACTCCCGATGCGGGTGGCACACGAAAAGATTGAAAATGGCTCGAGGTGCGTGACGTGAGACCAAAGTGAGCATGTGCAGACAAAAAACAAAAACAAAAACACCAAAAAAATAAAAAAAACCCCAACCAACAAACAAAACAAAAGGAGGCGATCGCGCAATCCGGAGCCACGCTGGCGGCGATATTTTGGATTGTTGATCAACATTCGAACATTTGTATCATTGAGGGACTGATGCGTTTTTTTTTTTTTTTTGTTTTGCGGGAGCTGCCGGCTCGCCCCACAACGAAAGGGAAAGGAGTGACGCAGACCCCTGCCCAGACATTCCCCATTTGCTCGCCTATGCGCTCGTGAACACTTGCCTTGCATGTCTTGCTTTTTTGTTGCTTCGAAGCGTACTACTAAACCAGCTTTTCCCGCTCAACCAATGCCGTGCGTTCTGGGACATGAGGTTTTGTTGTGGGTGCGACATTCCGAAACCGCACGAAAACCGCAGTGCCACTCGGCTCCAGCCCACTGTTTTCAGAACACGAGCCCTAACGCCTGCGGGCTTGCTGGGCGGGTTGTTTCGGGACTGCGTTGGGTGTCTCCTGAGCGGCTGCACGACGGCGGCACCGCAGAGCGGAGAGCGCGAGTGCCGATCTGACAATAAACCTCGGTAACCGCAACATCACAATCGGTTCAGCGAAAGGACAAAATGAACCAATTGTATGTGAAGTAAACAAACCGGAAAAAAAAAAACAATAGCCAACACATCGACACCTACAGCAAGATGCGGAAACGGTCACAAACAACACAGCGTTCACAGACGGCTGATGAGCAGGAGCGCTCGTTCTGCCCCGACCATCGCTTGTGTTGCTTGGCGCTCTGGAACGCGGACTTTAAGCGCTTAAGGAGAGCCAAGACTCAGCACGAGCGAGAGAGGGGTTGGCATTTAGTGGTTTTTGTTCGCCTTGTGTTTACACTAATGCTGATGCGGTTTGGTTCATTTGGCTCCAGTCTTTTTTTTTTTCTTCTGTCGGATCTGCGGCTTTTTATTTTTTTTTATTTCCAGGTTGGTTCATTCTTGCGCTTCTCGCGCTTGTCTCGCTCTTCCCGTTCCACTTGATGCTCGTTCTGGTTGTGGAGGGGACGTATTCTCGTGCGTCTGGTGTGGAGCGAGGGTTGCCGGACGGGCGAGTGCAGCGAGCGAATCCGTGGTGCGTGTTGCGCAAAACCAGCAGGAACCGATCCATCTCTCTGCGCTTGAGTCATTCGTTGCTGCAGCAATGCACGCACGCTCATTGCTTCTGCGCTTTCGAGATCTGATTGTGCGATCTGTGCTTTTGCTTCCGCTGCATCGTGTGCCGATGGATTACCGTCGGCATTGCGCCATCCGCGTGCCTCATCCAACTGAGGTTCGGGATCCCTCGCAGCCACGCGCCTCACAAAAAAAAAAAAAAAAAAAAAAAAAAAAAAAAAAAAAAAAAAAAAAAAAAAAAAGCAGGCGCAACCGAACGAAAGTCTCCGCTGATGTTATTGCAGGATGAGATAAGACAAGAGACAATGTCCTTCATTGTTTTGTCGGTTTGTTTTCGCGTTGCATTCATTTCGGGGGAATAGGAACGCTTCGCTGTTGGGCTTGCGTGAATACCTCACTTTTGACATAACGCCAGCTGATCACACCAAATAAGTGAAGAGATGTTCAACAAAATGTCAGACAGATTCCCGCTGTTTATTTTGTATTTACACGATCATGGTTCTTTTTTTTTTTCTTTTCTTTTTTTTTTTCATCATCACCAAAAGTATGAGGGGAACGATGCAAGTGCTTGTGATTGCTTGTGTTTGCTGGTGCGACGAACTCTGCTGGGTGAGGCGCCAGGGACTCTGAGTTTGCCGGCGAAACAAGATGTCATTTTTTTTTTTCAAAAAAAGAGTCAAATCAAAGGAACAAAAAGTCGCGCAGCAACAAATGAAATCATTCTCTTCACAACACCCGTCCTTTTGTACTACCACCCCACACCATTGTCACGGATGGTCAACGGCGCATGTGTGCATTTTTCGACATGTCGCTGGTTCCCCAAATCAACCTCAAATCTCGCAAAACGAATCGTTGAACCAAAACAACAACAACAACAACAACATGCCGAGCGGTGTGTCAAAATGAGATTTGGACCGAACCGACCCACCAAATTTGGCGAACAGTCGGCATCTAACGGACCAAAGCAACAAAAAAAAACAAGAAAAATGTGCGACCTGGCCTCCAAATTAGATAGTCAACGGAAAATCGACGAATCACAGCGAGGCGAATTCGGCCACACACCCAGAACCGCATCCGCAGAAGACACACACCAACAACAAAAGGCCCAGCATCGCCCTTCGACCGATCTTGCTGCAAATTGCACAAAACCTCACTTGTTGTGCTTCTCTGTCTGTGGTTGCCCTATGCGTGTTCGTTTGTTGTCACACCCAACAGCTCCTTCCAAAGCCCAGTTCGGAAACGATCATTCTCTGTTTTCCCCCTCCTGACTTTAATTTTTTTTTCCCGACAACCGCTGTTCTTCCCCCTGACACATACGCGCGCTCTCTCGCTCTCTCTTGCTCTGTTCTTTGCAACCATGACCACCTCTGCTGCAACTGTGGCTGCTGGCTGCATCTTTGGCTTTGTTGCCAGTGACGTCGAAGCCCGGGCCATTTTCCGCCAAGTGTGCGAAGGCAAGATTCGCACCATCGACAAACGCCTCACAACCCTTCAAAAGTCGGCCATCGCTGCAGGTAAGCTGTTCCCCCCCCCGCTTTCTCCCCTTCCGCACATCTCTCTCTCCGCACCGCCCTCCCCTCTTTGTTGGATTCGCTGCACTCCGCGCCACCATCCCGTTCCAGCGGGGCGGATCTGTGTGTGTCCGTTTTTTTTTTTTTTTTTTGTTTTTTTCCTAAGGTGTTGCCAAGGACCGACCCTCTTTTTTATTTTTATTTTTTTTCTTTGTTTATTTTTATACTTGCACCCATTGCATTGCGTTAATTTTGATATTGTTGTTGTTGTTGTTGTGGGTTGACTCTGCTTTTTGTCCGTCATCTCTCTTGCTCGTTGATCTGCCCCAAGCGTGCCCCCTGTTTTTTTGCTTGAAGTGTCACTTTTTGCTTGTTGCGCCATTCCGTCATTATTCGCTTGTTTGGATCTTTTTGGTTTGTTTTCATTTTTTTGTTTCGCTTTTGGCTGAAGATGCATTATGTCGCTAACCTTTGGTATGCTACATCCAATTTATCGTTTTGGGTGTCGAATTTTTTTTTTTTTTTTGACAGGACAAATTTACGTCTTTGACGACTGCATGAGCGAAATCCAACGCTGGACGGACGGCAAGCAATGGGGCGACTCGACCTCGATTGGCGACTTTCTCATCTACAAGGAGCAAGAAGTGATTGTGCCGAGCAGCCCAGACAAAAAGTCGCGTGTGGACAAGATTGGGGGCTTGCGCAAGAAGACCTTCGCCGACCCGACACCTGACTCGCACTTGCGATTGGTGTGCTACTACGACGAGCAGATTGCAATGGCTGCACGCTCGCCCATGCTCGACTGTGTCCACAAGGCTGTGAGCAGCAGCAGCAACTGCGCATCTCCGATGTTGGACAACATGCCCGCCCCGTTTGCCAAGCTTTCCAACAACTCGCTCGCATTGGGCGATCTGCAACAGCAGCAAGCTCCTCTCCAATCGTACCTCCAACAGCAGCAAACACAGATGATGCAGGCCTCCATCCAAGGACGTCGTCAAAGCTCAGTGTTTCTGCCCACAATCCCACAAGATTCGCAGATCCAACAACAGCAACAACAAAAACAGCAGCAGCAGCAGCAGAAGCACCACCAGCAGCAGCAGCAACAACAGCAGCAGCAGCAACAACAACTGCTGCTCAACCAACAGCAGCAACTGGAAGCCCAGCTTGCTCAACTGGAGCAGCTCAAGCAGCAGCAAGAGTCCCGTCTCAAGCAGCTGCAAGACGATCACATGCTGGAGCTCCAGCAGCTTTTGCAAACACCAAGGTCGCACGACGAACCATTATTCACCTTCAAGCGCGAGTACCCGGCCGAGCCGTCGTTTATGCCTGCCAGCAACGAGGCGGAGGCTGTCGCCCGCATCAAGCGTCGCCGCGAGTCGAAAGACCTGTCTGCTTTTCTCGCCGATGGCCCAATCATCACCCCTCGGCACCAAACGTTCATGTCACTGGTGGACCAGGTCTTGTCGCCAGCAATTGGATTGGACTCGGACAGCATTGCGTCCATTTCCCCGCCGTCGAGCTCGCTCGCGTTTCCTGCTCGCGCCACCTCGGCCACCTCGCAAAGCCCTCACCACGGCCCAATCACTGTGTATGCCGCCAGCCACAACGATCCCATCATCGAGGTCCAGCTCCCCCACGGCTCCACCCTCGTCTACCTCGACCAGCTCACCAACTCGCTCCGTGCCGAGTCTGCCATGGTGGCCCACGCGAACGCCGACTTTGCCGAGTTTATGCTCGCCGCGAACGACGAGGCTGCCAGCATGCTGCCGGGCTCTGTGGTGAATTTCATGGACGGCAAGCTCACCCTCCAGGGGTTTCACCAGGGCAGCTCGGCATTCGTCCCCCGCATCATCACCACCAAGCCATTGATCCTCGGTAACGTGCAGGCCGGCACCAACCAGGACGCCACGTCCGCCAAGGTTGCCATGGTTGGCCAGGTGCCAGTCCACGTTCGCGGCCCCGCCCGTGCTGGCGACTTTGTCGTTTGCAGCTACAAGTTTGGCGACTTGTTCTGCGTTGCCACCAAGGACATGACCCTCGAACTTTATGGTCGCGTGGTGGGTATTGCCCTGGAGAGCGCGCCTGCGCAGCCCGACGACTTGCCCACCCCTGTGCAAGTGCTTGTGTTTTACCCCGATGTCAACTGGCTGACTCGCAACATGGCGTCTGAGCGCCAGCAAATGCAAAGCCGACTCACCAGCCTCGAGCTCAAGCTTGAGGCGATGACTGCCCGTGCCAAATCGTTGTCGCTGGTCGACGACGCGCGTGTTTCGTCGAGTCCCTTCGGACTCGCACAACCGCGCGGCTTGGGCATGATGGTTTTCCTAATGCTGGCCCTTCTCATTGCCGGCATTGTCGGCGGTGTCGTTGGTAGCATCGGCATTAACTCGCTCCTCAACCGATGAGTTTCGAGTTCTTTTGTTTTTTCAAAGCCTTTGCTACTTTTCCTATCCATTCAAAATCCTGCCTATTGTTTTTTTTTGTTGCTTTTTGTTGCTTTTTTGTGCTTTTTGCTCAGCATCCTATTCGTTATGATGCTCTGTACCTTTTCGTTGGTTAGTTTGTTCGTTGTCGCCTGGTTGCCACACTTGTTGTTTTCGTGCTTTTCTTAGCATCCTATGCGTTATGATGCTCTGTTGTCTTTTGGTTGGTTTATTGGTTCGTTGTCGCTTGGTTGTCGCTCTGCGAGTTGCTCAACCACCTGTCAGTGACAAATAAATGCACCTCCTCATCCCCCTACACCCCTTGCTCCAGTGAGTGAAATGGGAGTTGTCAGGGAGCCAATCGTTGGGGTTGTCAACAGCTGCCTGAAACACATTTGGTTTGATGAGCAATTGTAAGATGAGGATGATGCCAATGATGAGATGGATGAGGAGTCCGCAGCATGATAGTGGTGTACTTTGTTCCAAACAAAAAGCACACCACAAAACAACAAAAAAAAGCCATACAGGAGTGCTAAGATAGGATTAACGATGGATTGAGCATTTAGTGGGAGCTGGTGTTCTTGCAATGTTACGCTGACTTTGCATCTACCGGCTCGGCAGCAGTAGCAGCAGCAGCAGCAGAGCGAGTCTCGTCGGAAGGCTGCTCAGACTGCTCAGAATTCTCAGTGTCTGAGAATTGTTCCATCTCAATCTTCGTCACATGGTTGCCCGGCGCAATCACAAGACCGACCTTCCGATAGATCGGGCGAGCTGGCATCAATAGCAAACCACAGCAGGCAAGCGACAGACGCGGTTTCAACGCAATGCAGAGAGCAGTGGAGAACGAACGGTGAGTGAACAGCAAACCCATTGCACGGCCTCGCAATCTCATTCACCGACAGACAGCCTTATGGCCATCATCATCGTTTGACGTGCTGGGACACAATGAAGCCACTCACTAAACTCTTGGTCTCCTCCTCCAACGCGGAGCTGCTGCGTCTCCTCGCCTTCGCTCATCACTAGGTTGAGCTCGCGATCGGTGCCAACAAACCGCCCAGTGACAATCCGGCCGTCACTCATCGTCAGCCGCATGAACTTGCCGAGATACGGCTGCAATTGTAGTGTTGCTGCAGAGAGCTCGGGCGAGGCAGCGTCAGCAGCGGGAGCGTCAGCAGCGGCAGATTCGTCCACGGCTGCCATTTGTATGGGAAACTTGAGTATTGAATGGACTGACCCGTTTCAACCAACCCATCCAAACAAAAGCCCCCCCCCTCTACACGTGCAGTGCGCACCAAAATTTGTAGAATCAACAGGGGTGGGGGCTGTGGTTGCCAGTGTGGCAGGTCGCGCGGATTCGAGGTCGATCTTAAACCAAATTTGAGCTAGAGCCATCAAAAGCACAATTCAATGATCCAAATCTACTTGAACATGATATAAAATGTGAATGTAAGATCAATCGAGGGTTGAGCGGACTGGCCTAGGGCCGTGGCCGAGCATGCTGAGGTCCGGGACCGCCGCTTGGTGGCTGGAGCGGCAGCAGTCCTGGAGGGTGTGCTATCAGTGGGCTCGGAGGCATGCCTGGACGATGCTGCTGTTGCATCTGTGGATGGGCAGGCTGCGAAGAGGGGTTTGCCCCACCCAATGGCCCGTGGTACTGGGCTCGTGGATGGCCACCCCGAGAAAGCTGACCTCCAGGGGGCGGCGGACCGCCACCAAACACTGCGTCGGCAGGCTGAGTGCACCACCAACGTTTGTACACAAAGATTTCGCGTCAGCTCATGTTCATGTTTGTCTCAATCTCGTAGCGAGACGACAATTGCAACACGATCGTCGAATCAGCCACCGACAGCCTTACCCATTGAACGCTGCTCATGTTAGGGGTCTCGGAGAAGCTCATGGTGAATCTAAAATGTATGGCAAATGATGGTTGGATGAAGCGGGGCGGGGAGGGGAAGGAGGGAAAGGCAAAGGTGAGATACAACTACAACAAGTCCAAAAATGCCTGCGACGTACTCGCCGACCCGCTCAACCATCGCGGCTTTGCCAGTATAGACCGTGAGCGATCCCTTGAATAACGAGCAATATCTAAGTCAAAACAACAAAAGGTCGGCCGAGTTGTCGCTGTGAGCGTCGACTGGGGTTTGCAATCCATGCATCATCATCCTCAGCTCACCCATTTGTAATGTGCAGAATGTCCGACGGCTGGATGTGCAGACACAGGTCGTCCCAGACGGTCAGCCGGACCGATCCCGACGCGTCTGCGACGAGGCAGGACGTGACGAGTGTGTCGTCCTTTGTGCGTTGCGATTCACCTGCCTCGACCAGCCAAGCAATCAATCAATCAATCAATCAATCAATCAATCAATCACAGGGCATACACAGCCACACATGAAGGCACGGTGTGTGTCGGGGGTGGAGCGAAGCGCGACTGTTTGAAGCGTTGTTGCGCCACAAACCTTTCTCCAGCACAATGCAGCGTATCCGAACGCTCCGCATGCTTGGCTTGAGATCGGCAATCTTGATAAAGACCTTGGCTGCATCCATATTGGGACTTGCCGCAGGTGTTTGATGGCGAATGGTCGTGTTGAGCGAAGCGATCGGCAAAAAAGAAGACTGATCGGAGCAGAGAGGCGGATTGGATCTGAATCTCGAGCTTCACTCCTGCGTTTGACACTCGAGCTGAGAATCCTTCCTTGGAATACGCACAAGCATCTGGTGACTGGTTGCTGAATCGATGAAACCAAAAAAAACAAACGCATTGCGCGAGGAAACAGCTCCCGAGACTCGCCCATCCAAAATGTATCCGAAGTTCGACATGCTTCCAGAGTTATCCATCCACAGTAGATCTCTCTCTCCTCAAGTCCCTCCAACTCACCCTCACCTTTACCCTCACCCACACACACACGCAACCCCGCGGCAGAAATCGTGGAATGATGAAAAATCTGCCGCTGTATTCCATTCCTTTCTTTTTTTGTTTGAACGGCGCCTTCGTTCCGTTTGGGGGGGGCTGTTTCTTCGTCTTCCAGCAACTTGCTTTACTGTCGCACGATGATCCGTGCAATGACTTTGCCATCGTCCTTGCAATGCCTTCAGAACTCGTTCAAGCACCCCCCGCCCTCCTCCAAGTTGTGGTTTTTTTTTTTTGCGCATTTTTTTATTTCATTTTTTTTTTTATTGTGCTCATGCCAGTCCATCTTTTTTTTTTTTTATCTTTTTTTTTTTCCTCGCTTTTTATCACTGTGAGTTCCATTGCCACAAAAAAAAAAAAAAAAAAAAAGGCTTGCAATCGTACCGTTCGCATCCATCAGCGTCCGTTCTGCTGTCTGGGCCTCTGCGGGAGGGGGGGGGAACTTGAGGGACAGGCCCCATTCCAGCATCGCACGAACGACCAACGACGACCCACAGATGCCTGGTCTGTGCGATGAGCAGTTCGGCAAATAAATAATAAAAAATAATAAAAAAAATAATAAAAAAGAAAAAATAATAAAAAAATAATGATTAAAAAAAAAACCGCTGCCGCTGCTGAGCCAGCGTTTCCCCTGACTCGACCGACGAGCTGGAGACATTGGGTGGGAGTCGCACTGAAACGTGTGCATACCATGTTTCCCTGCGCGGCGCCCCTTCATCCTGGCATCCAGCCACGCAGCAATAGCAAAAAACAACGCGGCGTCGTTGTTGTGGCAAAAAAACCCAACCGAAAATGAATGAAAAAAAAAATAGAGTTGTGGAGAATCGAGTGCTGCCCCACGACAAGCGGCTGTGTTGTGCGAGGAAGCGACCAGCCTTCAACCCCCTTGATACAAGACCGATGGATGGTGCTCTGTGAGGCTGGAGCCATGCGCAAACCTTGATCGGACAAAGAAGGGGTGTCAAATCGCTTTCGATAGCGCGAACAAAAACAAATCGACGAAAAAGAATTGTATTAAAAAAAAAACACACAAACAAACGCTAAAACAGCTGCTAATCTTGCCTTACTTTCCCCCCAAGCCTCAGGCGCGTCTGTGCTGGCTGAGCACACCGCTCCAGCACAGCAGTCTTGCTGCCTTACGTGCTCGTGGTGGACCAGGGCAGTGGGCGCTGGCTCGCGGTCAAACGATTTTGAGTTTTTTTTTTTTTTTTTTTTCAGTTAGCCAATCATTCGCACCTCCACTCCGGCGATTTCTGGCATCGCGAGTCATGTGTTGCGTTGTCGACTGGTCGCACTCCCTCGATGAGTGCCACACGTTCATGGTTGTACTGAAGGAGCGATACGTGGAAAGCGCCAGGCGTGTGTCTGTTTTTTTTTTTTTGCCGTGTTGTTTTCTATCAACGCGGTATCCGCTTAATCCGCGAAACAAGGCGTTTCTCGATACTCTTTCCTCACTATTCGAACTGCATGAGCCACCGCCACCACCGCCGTCAACAAAAAAAAAAAGAAAAAAAAAAGGTCAAACCACAAAGCGATCTTTGCGACCCAATTCTCGAGATCTACCCGCTGTTGCGGCTGTTTGCTCTGGCATTCGCACACTTTTGTCGCACTCTACAATTGTCACTCTGCTTGCCTTTCCCTGCAGCGTTGACTCGGTGGTGGTGGTGGTGGTGGTTGTGATGTGGTGATGTGTGGTGGTGGCTTTTCAAGCCATCAGCAGACATTTATTTATGTTTGTTTTCCGTTTTTTTTTTTTTGTTTGCTTTTTTTTTGGTTGCTGCTGCTGCTGCTGTTGTTGTTGTTTAGGCATTATTCACTCACTCACTCTGCCTCTCTCGATCGTCTTGCATTGCTTGCTTCCTTGACAGCGCGACTTGCTTGGCTTGCACCTTTTGGTCCTTTGAAAGGGGTTTCTCTGCCGTGTCTGGTCGTTGAGCGTCTCTCTCTTTTTTCTTCCCTTCTTTTCGCTTCTGGTTTTTCTTCCTGCTGCTCCCGTTCTCCTTTTCATCAAACGGCAAATGTCTGCGTCGCGATACGTTTGGTTTAACAGGAAGGATGGCTATCTCCGTCCTGACCAGGTCATGTCCAACTCGAGCAACCAGATGACAGTCGAGACCGATGACAGCGAGCGCGCCAACCGTTGACACGAACGCCGTGCGCCCTGTCTGCGAGAACAGCATCTCGGGCGTGACAGGACATGACCAAGTTGTCCGATCTGCACGAAGGCGCCCTGCTGTGGAATTTGCAAAAGCGCTACGTCAAGAGCCTCGTCTACACGTACACGGGCAACATTCTCGTCGCCGTCAACCCGTACCAGGTGTTTAACATTTACGATCTCGACACTGTGCGTCGCTACGCTGGACAAGTCATTGGCTCGCTCTCACCGCACATTTTCGCCATCGCCAACGAAGCCGTCCAATGCATGCTCAAGAACGCTGCCGATCAGTGCGTCGTCATTTCGGGCGAGTCTGGTGCCGGCAAGACCGAGTCCACCAAGCTCATCATGAAGTACATTGCCGCCATCAACAAGGAGCAGTCGATGGTGTCTGAGCAGATTCTCGAGTCCAACCCCATCATGGAGTCGTTTGGCAATGCAAAGACGGTTCGCAACAACAACTCTTCACGCTTCGGCAAGTACCTCGAAATTCAGTTTTCCAACTCTGGCGGCATTCAGGGTGCAATGATGTACGAGTACCTGCTCGAAAAGTCGCGCGTTGTCCACCAGGCCACCGACGAGCGCAACTATCACATTTTCTACGAAATGCTGGCGGGCATGGAGCCCGACGAGCTTGCCAAGCTCAAGCTCGGCGATGCCAAGCAGTACTACTATCTCAACCAAGGCGGAAACACAAAGGTCGACAACAAGGACGACGCGGAAGAGTACTTTTTGTGCACGCGTGCCATGGAGGTCATGGGCTTTACTGCCGAGGAGGTCGAGTCAGTGTTCAAGGTGCTCGCCGCGGTCTTGCACCTCGGCAACATGACGTTCGAAAAGACCTCGGTTGGCGGCATGGACGCCTCGACGGTCAAAAACCCCGATGTCACGCGCTTTGCCGCCAGTCTGATCTCCGTCAAGCCCGACGGCCTTGTGCACTCTTCGACACATCGCACGAACGTGACGCGTGGCGAGGCCATCACCTCGCCCTTGTCGGCTGATGCGTCGGCAGACAAGCGCGACGCCCTGTCCAAGGCGCTCTACTCGCGTCTGTTCTCGTGGCTCGTCAAGCGCATCAACACTGTCATTTGCCGCAACTCCAAGTACCACTCGATCGGCATTCTCGACATTTTCGGTTTTGAGGACTTTGAGGTCAACTCGTTCGAGCAGCTCTGCATCAACTACGCCAACGAGAAGCTGCAGTTCTACTTTAACCAGCACATCTTCAAGCTCGAGCAGGAAGAGTACTCGCGCGAAGGCATCAGCTGGGAGAAGATCAACTTTGTGGACAACCAGGGCTGCCTCGATCTCATCGCCAAAAAGCCCACCGGCATTCTCTCGGTGCTCGACGACGAGAGCAACTTCCCCAAGGGCACCGACGACTCCTTCCTCGACAAGCTCCATGGCCAACACGAAAAGAACGCCTACTACGAGAAGCCCAAGAAGAAGTCTCCGTACTTTGGCGTCCGCCACTACGCCGGCACAGTCACGTACCTGGTCACGGGCTTTATCGACCGCAACAAGGACACGCTTCACCAAGACCTGATCGAGCTCATCTGCTCCAGTACCGATCCGCTCGTGATCAAGCTCTTCGAGTCGTACAAGGAGCAACTCGAGGGCGACAAGAGCGGCAACAAGGCCAAGCGTCTGCCGTCCGTCGGTGGCCAATTCCACGAGTCGCTCTCTCAGCTCATCTCGACCATGTCGGCATGCAACCCCTTCTTTGTGCGCTGCGTCAAGCCCAACACCAAGAAGAAGCCCACCATCTTTGAGAACACGCTCGTCCTGACACAGCTCCGCTACTCTGGCATGCTCGAGACGATTCGCATTCGTCGCTCTGGCTACCCCGTGCGTCTGCCGTTTGCCCACTTTATCTTCCGGTACCGCGTGCTCTCCAAGAACCCGCTGCCCCCAGGCAACCAGCTGGCCGGCAAGGAAGTCGAGGTTGCCAAGGCCATCATGGCCGGCGTCGCAGCGTCCTCGCTTGGCGAAGACTCGTACCAAGTTGGCAAGACGAAAATGTTTATGCGTGAAAACGTCGAGCGCGAGCTCGAAAAGCAGCGCTCAGAGCGTCTTCGTGGCATTGTCGTGCGCATCCAAAAGACTTACCGCATGTTCCAGTGCAAGAAGCGCTTCAAGCGCATCCTCGCGGTTGTGCGTGACGTTCAACGTGCCAGTCGCGGCTACCTCCAGCGTGTCGAGACTGCCAAGAAGCGTCGTGCGCTCGTGCTGATCCAAGCCTTCTTCCGCATGATCAAGCCCCGCAAGGAGTACATTGTCATGCGTGATGAGGCGCGCATCCGAGCCCGCGAGGAACGCCTGAAGGCCGGCATTCTTCAGGCGCGCGCTATTGGCGATGCCAGCACCGTCCCAATCCCCGCCGAGCTCCAGGCCATTCTTGACGGCGTGACCGCCTTCACGCCCGTCTACTCGGAAGAGCAAGCCCTTGCGACCATCGAGTCTGAGCTCATGCCACTGGGCGGCCACACTGAAGCCGCGCTGCCCGACGACATCCACTCGTTCAACTTTTCAAAGTTCGCCAAGGCTTACTTTGAGGGCGAGCGCTCGTGGTCGTTCTCCAAGGGCCCCATCGACAAGCCATTCCTGAGCCTGCACTCGCCCGAGCTCGCAGGCGAGGCCATTGGCATTTTCAACTGCATTCTCAAGTTTATGGGCGATCCCTCCGTGGCTGGCCAGCTCGAGTTCATTCTGGGCAACTACATTGTCGCGAAGGGCATCCAACGTCACGAGCTGCGCGACGAGATCTACTGCCAGCTTGCCAACCAGACGTGGCTCAACCCGAACGAGGTCAACTGCGAGCGTGGCTGGCTCCTCATGTCGTTGTGCCTTGGCTGCTTCCCTCCGTCAGAGCAGCTGTACCAGTATCTGCTTTGCTACGTGAGTCGTCAGGGTGTCGCCATGTACAAGCAGTACTGCCAGTACAAGCTGCTCCGCTCGTTTGTCAACGACGCTCGTACGGCTCCCCCCGGCATTGCCGAGTGGAAGGCAGCGCGTCAATGCGCGCCCCTCGCAATCGAGGTTGATCTGCCCGACGGCACCACTCAAGTCATTGCTGTTGATTCGTCGACCACTGCCGAGGAGATTGGCATGCTGATTCTCCAAGCCAAGGGCATTGCACACTCTGCCGAGACTGCTGGCTGGACGGTCGAAATCTCCTCCACGGGCAATGTGTTTGACGCCCAGGAGGTGTACGCTGACTACCATGTTCTGGATGCGTACTCGCAAACTGAAATGCCCGAGGATCTCGTTGTGCTTGCTGGCAGCGCGTCCGCCGCCTTTGCCGCTGCGCCTGTCGGTGGACCTCGTGCTGCTGCTCCTGCTGCACCCCGTCCTCCTGCCGCTGCTGCTGCTGCCGCCCCGCCTCCGCCTCCTCCGGCTGGTATTCCTCCGCCTCCTCCGCCTGCTGCTGCCGCCGCTGGGCCACCGCCGCCGCCACCTGCTGCACCCAAGGCACCTGGTCCTCCGCCGCCGCCTCCACCGGCATCTGCTGGCCCGCCTCCGCCCCCGCCTGCTGCCGCTGGCCCACCTCCGCCTCCTCCGCCTGCCGCCGCTGGGCCACCGCCGCCGCCACCTGCTGCACCCAAAGCACCTGGTCCGGCCGCCGCCGCCTCCACCGGCATCTGCTGG